TTCTTGATGGGTATCACGAGCCTGTGCGTGCTGACAGTTTTTCTAGTAGTGTGGGCATGATTTAAGCCATGGATTTTGATGGAGCTTGATGATTGAATAGTGATGATGAAAGGTTGGTGATGGTGCGAAATAGGGAATAATTTCCCATTAGAGCAGCCCACGATTTTGGAGTGTTAAGCCATTGGTTTTTTTTTTTTGTTTTTTTTTTTTTGTTTAATTAAGCTAATTACTCCCTCCGTTAATTTTTATTTGCAACTTTGGGGAACTTTACGGTTCACGAGGCAAAATTTGATAATGGTGATTAATGTATTATAGAGGTATGTAATTAAGGTGGAGAGAGAATGTTTGGATAATTAATTAACCACCCACTACCACCAAGACCGGCCAACACCACCGCCGCCTTCACCAACACCACCGCCACCTTCACCACCACCACAACAAACCCCACGAAAGCACCACCACCCTCACGAAAACCCACCACCCCCACGAAATCACCACCGTACCACCCACAAAAACCCAGGCCACCACCTCCAAACAACCCCACGAAATCCAAATCTTAAAAAAAAAAAAAAAAAAAAAAAAAAAACACTTCAAATGAAAGAACCATCCAGCGTCCCAGCCACCGAAACCCACCGACGGAGCCACCACCTCCACGAACACACACCAAAACCCAGAACAACGACCACCCACCAAAACCCACCGATGGAACCACCAAAACCCACCCACCAGAACCCAGATCCACGACCACCCACCAAAACCCAAATCCACGACCACCCACCAAACAAATCCACGACCACCCACCAAAACCCATCAACGGAACCACGAAAACCAACCCACCGAACACGAAAACCAACCCACCAGAAACTAAACCCCCAACTCGAACCTAAAACCATGACCTACACCGCCTTCACCAACACCACCGCCGCCTTCAACGCGGGCTTCACCACCACCAGTACCACCCCATGAAACCACCACCACCCTCACGAAAACCCACGAAACCAACGGATGAAGTTGAAGAGAGAGAAAGAAGATTAATGGGGGAAGATGAGGATGACAGAGGAGAGAGCAAATATGGGGGAAGATGAAGATGAAGATGAATGAAGATGGTTTTGAAAGAGGAGAGAGAAAATATGGGGGAAGATGAAGATGAATGAGGATGGTTTTGGGTTTCTTGAATTGAAGATGAAGAGTTGATGAATTAGATTGGGTTGGTTGGGTTGAAAATTGGGTGAGAATTAGTGATTAATAAAATCTGATTATAGTTAGTAAATTGTGTTTTAATTTTTAAAATGAGGGTAAAATTGACATTTGACTAGTTTTTTTTTACTAAAAGAGGAAAGAAAATAGAAAGTTGCAAATAATTTTTAGCGGATTAAAATGGCAAAAGTTGCAAATAAAAATTAACGGAGGGAGTAGTTGTTTTCCAAAAAAAAAAAAAAGCTAATTAGTTGTTAAATACAAAATTATTGCCATGTTAGAGAAACTTAATAAAAGTAATGCTATTTGTGAGAATTTAGAAAAAAAATTTGTTGCCATTGAGAATGTGCAATTTTACATAGCTACCATTGAAAATTTCCCTTAAAAAAAAAAGGGGCATATCATTAAGGGTATGAGAGAGAAAATGAGAATAATTAATAAATCAAGGGACTCCACCTTATCACCACCCCCTTGCCGTTCTTTCACTGGCAGCACTACCTACCAGTTTCTCGGCAGCCACCATATTCAACCTCGCCGCCCTCAACACACACCAACCTAGCCTCCGACAATCAACCCCACCACCCTTACCTCCCTCACCACACCCCACCGACCACCACCTTCTACCTCACTGCCCTCAATAGACATCTCACCACCCTCAACAAACCCTCATCGACCACCGCCTTCAACCTCCATTTTAGTCACCACATCTCCATCTTCTATAGTTGGGCTCCAACAAACCCCCCTGCTTCCATAAGTCCCAGCCACAAGCATTGACAAAACCACCCAAAAACCACGTACTATCAAACACCCCGACAACAGCTGGCCAATCGCAAGCCGCAACGAAACCCTGAAAACTTACCCACCCCACAGCACCTATCCGAAATCCACCCCTCACCCCGAAACCACCCAAAACCGGTCTAAAATCAACCCATCCACCCCAAAAAGTAGCGCACCCACCCTCAAAATCATCAGATCTGACTAGGGCGGGGAGGTTGGGCGATGATGGGAGGAACAATGAAAGGAGACGATTCTGACAAGACCATGCCTGCAACACGATCCTTTTATCTGTGAATTTTGCTTGTTCCTTTATGAAAGCTTAAGTATCTTTTATCTTGTATACTTCGCAGTTCACGTGCAGGCTGAACACTATGTGTTTTGTTACATGCATATTCTATTTTAAAGGAGTCTTAAATTCTACTTCCTCTGTTTTTTATTAGTTGACACATTTCATTTAGGCACGTTTGCCAACACATATTTTCAAATGTAAATATCTTTAATTGCGTATTAGCAAAAAATATAAAATTTTGATATTAGGAAACTAGATGTTGATACGAAGCTAACAAGACCCCACTTGACTGTTTTTATCTAACACTAAATCACAAAACAAAGTCAAAGTAAGTTATGTGAATAGTGCACAAAGTCAAAACGTGTCAACAAAAAAATCCAAACGTAATTCAAATCCCTTTTTTCCAGGTATATAAGGAAAAGAAATCAGCTCGGGATAGTTTTGTTTGTGGTGCCTGTGGACAGGTTGGTTCATTAGATTTTCTTGATTTGCTGCTTTTGTAATTTTATGAGCTTACTATACTTAAAATTTATTTTTAGCTTGGCCATATGCGAACGAACAAGAACTGTCCCAAGTATGGGGAAGATCCAGAAGCTCAGGTTAACAATCTAGATCAAGAAAAGGACTCGTATAAACTTTTATCTCAGGACCCCCCTTCTCAGGCCCATGTGAAGACTTCAAACAAGAAACTCGTGACTAAAAGTTTGACATTAGCTCCTAAAGTTGAATGTCTTGAGGAGGAAAGGTCTAGTTCGAAGACCAAATTTTTGAAAGTCAGATATGCTGCTGCTGAGAAGGTTCCAGATAAAGTTACATCTGTTCCAATGCCAAGTTTAGAACAGCCAAGCACATCTGAAGTTGAAGCTGTAAATAAATCTGCACCTAAAGTTATTAAAATAATAAGCAATAAAACAAAGCCTGATGATGTTCAGGCTGAATCTGCAAAGCTCAATGTTATTATTCGGCCACCCAGTGAAACAGTCAAAGAACATCATCATAAAAAAATTACCATCAAGCAACCCAAGGAAGTCATAAATCTAGACCACTCCAGCCAGGAAGGTGCTGATATAGAGTACAGAAAGACCAGGAAGATGATTGAATTAACAGGATTTGGAGTAAACAGACAGCAAGAAAGAAAGCATATTAGTGAAGATGCATTAAGAAAGAAAAATAAAGAAGCTAAACGTATGTGGGAAGAGGAAGAGAAAAGGAGAAATGCAGAAAGAGTTAGAGAAGAACAAGCAAGAAGGATTTATGAGGAAGAAATGAGAATGCAAGAAGAGCGAGATAGATTGGCTGAACTTAGAAAATATGAAGAAGACATACGTAGAGAAAGAGAAGAAGAAGAACGGCGAAAAGCCAACAAGAAGAAAAAGAAAAAGAAGAGGACAATTGACTTGAAAGATCATTTGGAGGATTTTCCAGCAAAAAGGAATAACCGATTGCCAGAGAGGGAAAGAATTGCTAAGAGGAAGACCGTTGTAGACTTGGGGGGGTATGGCGCGGAGTTTGTCCCACCAACCAAACGGCGTAAGGGCGGAGAGGTATTTTCCTTAGCTAGTGCTCTCTCATTAATTTTGCCAGGAATTGTGAAGTTCATTTATGGTGAGACTGATGTGATTAGTCTGCTGGTGACAAATTATGTGATACATGTATTTTATAGCTGGTATCCTTGGGCTTTAACTAATGTTGTTCGATTGTTGACAGGTTGGCCTAGCTAATATTTTGGAGAGCATTCTTGACACTCTCAAAGAGAGATTTGATGTGTCGTACCTTTTCTTAAAACCTGTCTCCAGGAAAGAGGCTCCTGATTATTTGAACATAATTGAACGCCCAATGGATCTCTCCACTATTAGAGAGAAGGTTAGACGGCTCGAGTACAAAGACAGACAAGATTTTCGTCATGATGTATGGCAAATTGCTTATAATGCCCACATGTACAATGATGGGAGAAATCCAGGTATCCCACCCCTCGCAGATCAGCTATTGGAGATTTGCGATTATATGTTAGAGGTAAAGGCTGATAGCTTAGATGAGGCTGAGTCTGGTATTCAAGATTTGCCTGTTTGGCCTTAGTGCTGGTGAATTATCAATGATGTGCTAAAAAAATGTGACCTTGTACATATTTTGTTTGGTAAATTGTAGTTTTAGGTGTTGTAGTTACAACTTACATGCATCTTTGCTGTATATATATTGTGGATTGTATTCAATTCAACACAATCATTCTGCCCAAACTGTAAATTATATCTTTCTTTTTTCCATCTTTTTTCTCTTATTTATTTTTTTTTCCATTTGTACATGGTAACTACAGAATACATGAACACCGTTAGCTCTGTTACTAAATAATTTCTTTTGACATATAAGGTTCAGCTTGACGAATTTGAAAACATATCTTATCATTTTTCATTTGTATATAAAAAATATATGACAAAAGTAAATAAAAACTAACAGAATTGAAGGCACAAAATAATGGTTGTATGTGGGAGGCTATGAAGGCGGTTTTATGAATGAGCAGTGATGCTTGGTAATTATTGGTAAGTTTTTGTCGATGGGAATGGTGTAGGTAGGTAACTTTGGTGACAAATGTTGGGATAGGAGCTGGGAGCAGTCATGAGCTCATTGGTTTTTGTCGATTGCTATCTTCAATGATTCAATCTATTTATTGCCATTGACCGATATGGCATGAAAACAAAACTACTCTTTGCTCAGTGTTCCAAAAAAATGAAAAAAACAAAAATCGCAAAACTAAATACAAAGCTTTTTATAAATGTATAAATGAAATAAACTTCTTAGTAACATGCTGCAGCCCTAATTACAACAGAATAATTATTCTTCATACTACGTACAATACGGGCTACCACCACCACCACCACCATTAGCTTTATTGCTAAGGGATCAGGGCGAATTCACAACTATAATGCTATCCAACAAAACCTTACATGGAAAAACAATGAACAATAATGACAGCGAATGTAGAAAAAGGATGAACAAGGGTATAACCGTATAAATATAAGCTATGAACAGAGCTGCAGTGCTGCACCATATCTTGGGACCAAAACTGAAGAAACTAGTGAAGTAGAATTGCTTCCAATCACGCACTTTCTTGTAAATCAGAAGTCATTTGGACGCTGTCATCTGCATTGGTACTATTCCTAGAATTAATGTAAGAGCAAGCTGCGTCTAGCATCATGCGCACCTCTCGTTTGTACTGCATGGAAACAAATAAAAAAATTAAGTATAACGTTCAATTGCAATCTCTGCATCAAACCAAGCTGTCTGCTTTTCAAGAGAGAAAAAACATAAGGAGAGGAGATGTACCTCATCAATGGCCCCAGACTTAATTTTAGATTGCATGACACACCATTTCTTAAAGTGAGCACCTATAAAAGAGAGTATATATATAACTAGTAAAATTATTATCTGCAATAAAGTGTTTTAAAATGTGAGAAACTTCAATAAATAAAATGTAAGCCAAAGCAGAAGAGAATATGTAATCTCAATCAGCTGAGAGCTAATTGCACCAACTGAATAATTTCACAGAGCTCTAGATGCATAAAGTCTCACTCCTAGCCAGTCAAACCAGTAGCAAGACACTTTTCGAAGGAAGAATGGATAAGAAAAACAACAAAAAGTAAAAGGGGGTAGAAATTGATTAACATAGCAGTATTGCCCTGACTTCCTTCGCTTTAAGAGGAATTTATTAGTACTAATGGAAAAGTTAAGCAAGTGTTGTGCTTCAGAAAGAAACTGGCTACATTCAAGTGACAATAACTCAATTAATATACAGTTACATTCAGTAAAAAAAAAATTTTAACCAGCTAAAATATTTTTAAACCAGTAAAATTCAGTTTAATCAGAAAGGATCTGTATTGCCAATAAACAAATAACAAAGGGAATCCGAAAAAATAATTATATATCATTAAAATCAGTTTTAATGTAATAATAATTAGTCCAACAAACTTAAAGCAAAAAAGATAGGGCCTAATAATTAATTGCATATTATAATCAGATATATCCTAAAACAATTGCCACTAGTAGTCAGATTCTTTGCCAAAGTAAATCTATATTTAGCATAATAAAAAGCTCCAAGAATATACAGAATCATAGCATGCACTACAATAGAAAAGGGAAAAGTAGGATGATATAAATTAACAGCCGTCACCAACAAAAGTAAGAGAAAATATAGAAGCAATCAGGTTAACAACATTGAAATCACTGAAGTCTTGCAAGGAACAGCATCATTCAATTTGTTGAATCAAGCATCATGGTAAACAGAATCACATAAAGCAAGTCAGACTACAAAAACAAATGTTATGCTGTACTAAATAACCAAACAAAAACAAATGTTATGCTGTACTGAACAACCAAACAAAAAAAAGTTTTTGCGGAAATGAAAAGAAAAAAAGAATTACCAGCTTTAACGTCTATGGTAGAAGATGACTCAGAACAAGTTTCAAGACGCCACCTACAGTGCACCTATTAAAAATGCCAAACATAGGATTTAATTGATATTTTTCTAAGGCTTGGTGCATGATTAGTATTAATATCAAATGGAAAAAATTGTAAATGCAAAAATGACTCAGAAGCAGCATACCTCAAAATAAGACCCGAATGGGACATCATGCGCTTGTTGTACTGTTTCAAACACCTGGAGTCAAAGATTTTTAGCCCAAAAGTGGGAACAAAACAAAGAAGTCTAAATAAAGTAGGTTATGATGTACAAATTCATACCAATACTGTCTTATCTGGTGATAAAACTACATGCTGCCACTCTGTCATTGCCGTGTCTGGGGGGCACATAGGGCTCTTGCATATAGAGCGAAAAGTCATTTCTCTAATTAAACCCTCGTACTCGTCTGTTGAATGCCACTGCCCTATCTGAAGACAGTGAAACAGATGCATATCATATTTAAAACACTGAACAGGAAAACTACTCTCAATGAACTTTAGAAAGAACAAAATCTACTCAGTTTTGCACCAACTTAGATTAAGATGAGTAGGTCACACATTCAAGGGTGAGAACTTAATAAGAAACAGATACAAAGGTAAGCATCTTGTTACAAACGATATTTTTCTCCAATTCAATTTAAGACAAATCATTCTCTAAGAAAATGTTCACTCAATACCTGTAAGCTAAAACAATCAAGTTTGGCAAAGAAAACAACCTGCTAGTAGCTACTGCAGCAAGGGAACATAATCCAGACTATTTTATGCTAGTAAAACAATGAGGCTTAGCCCATGTAAATTATTGCCTCAACTATGAACAATTCAAATGGTGCTAAATGTTGAAGACATTATCCCTAATTTCACAATTAGAAAACATCTAGGTCTTCGTTATACAATCTCAATCAGAACACAACCTAAACTTTTGCTCATCGCCAGACTTGAAATTGCTTTATTTCTCTATCAGACAATATATGTAATTAGGACCAAAAGAAAATACAGCAAGAAGACAAAGTGTCTTCATAGATGAGCACAAATTAGCATAGTTCCTTAGTAAATCACAGAAGAGAGGCGTCCAGAAATATGCTTCAAGATGTGGCAGGCAGATTACTGGGAACACTGCTTCCGAACAGAAGGAAAAATTAAAGATACATTTTACTTAACTTTGCAAAATATTAGCAAGTGAATGATAAGGTTCAACAAGCAGCAGTTACAGAGAAGAAAGGAATCAATAAATTGTACTTACACTAAGATTAGAATCCTTCCGTGCTGAACGATAGTCATTAATATAGTTTGAATCATCACTCAACAATAAATTAAAAAATTGCTCAGCTGTGCATGGAAATTTATCCTGAGAAAAAGTTCAAACGTTTAGCAGAATTGCATGCAATACAAATACTAACAAATAACCAATGAGATGTGTACTTGGAAAAGATGTGTTGTCCCATACATTATATATACTAACAAGCACTTCATCCTTGACAAATGGCTGAAACTTATCAGTCTTTAATATAATTTCTTCAAGAACTTTAGGCATTGGTTGACCTGTCCGTTTTGAACTGCTATGTGCACGAAGTTCTGATAGTGCCTTAGCCTGTTCAGCAAGTTGATCATAATGGCATTTAGTAGATGGAGAGTACAACATTAGTTAATATGATATGATGATGTCATGAATGATTTTGGAGAAATACAAAACAAATTTATTATTTCCAATATTGGCAGAAAATGAATTTTTTTTTTTAGAAAAAAAAGTGGGCTAATGAGGGAAAATTCCCTCCAAAAAACTCCACATTCTGTGTCCTTCATATCTTCAAAGTTCATACACAAGCTAAACGACCTCCACTTTTAAATCACATTGCAGAGTCTCTTTTAAAGGGAACTTAGAGTGGATGGATGTAATTTCTGAACCGTTAAATAAAGGCACAATTTAATGAGAGATTCAACATAAAACAACCTTCTTTTCAGCCTCTAGCATCAAAAGAAAGTTTTTCGCAGAACGTTGCAATATCTTCAAGGCATGATTCCTGTTCCAAAAAGATGCAAATTTGTACCTAACTCTCCCTGCAAGGAACAAACAAAAAAATAAGTTAATATAATGGTACCAAGTAGGTGGCTGTCCGACAACAGAGAACATATTGTAAAAAGGATAGAGGACTATAACTCTTTATCAAACTGGATGAATTGATGAAAGAGATAAACTAGTAAAGGCCCCAGGCTTGAAACCAAGAAGAGGCCACAAATCCCAGGATAATCCTAAAAAAAACTCCAAGTGAAAAGATCATCAATACCCTCCAACCACACCATCACATGATAGTCACATCATCCCAAAAAATGGATTTCTTTGATATGACTAGACATAAATCTCTTCAATAAGAAAAGACATACCCTAATTAAGTACTAACACAACTCTTTTAGACATGAGAAATAACGATAAAATAGAGAGTGTAGAATGATATATACATGTATTATATCAGGACCCATGCATGGCTCCCTTGGTTTGGTAGGTGGTAAGAAATGATTAAACTTTGGAGGCAAAAGTAATCACATTTGTAAATGCTCCATGACAGACCATGTACACGCCCATCATACATCCAAAAGAGGGAAAAAAACCATCCATGCATAATAATATGACCTTCAGACTATTCAGTACCAAGAACCCGAGACACATGATACACTTTGTGATACATTTCATTGGTTCTTGATTTTTGCACACTTTTAGTAGGTCAAAGCATACAGTCTGCATACATTCCATAGAAAAGGCATGGTCGCGATGTGTTTGTAAAAGGAGCTTCGGGGAGGGAGGGAGGGGGGATCGTCAAAGAATTCTCAAACAAACTTTTCAATCCAGCCAGAGGCTCAGAAAAGAGATATTTACACTAAGACACCATCTATACCTATACTGTTGTTAAAAATCAAGGTCAATACAAGCCATCCTGCCACCTGCTTCTCATTTCTAATACCACTGTAATCAAAGGCGCACCTAGGTACCAGGTGATAATTGTCAAGCAATATTACTAGCATAGACAGGTGATTGCGAAGAGGCGCATCCATGGCATACAGCTGTTTCATTACACCAAAAATAATCAATATTTAATTGACAACGCCTCACTTCAATTAGGCACCAAGGAATATTGAAGGACAAAAGTGCAAAAGAACCCTATCCTATTCACCTTCATGCATCTTGAGCTTTTTTATTTAAATTGTCTAATATTGCCCATTGACATGATGCATATCAAATGAGTGTCAGGATCCTCTCATGCAAAGATCTTCAACTGCAACAGACTTCCTCCACATTAAAAATGTATCTACCAAAAACTGAAACCGTGACCTCTCATTTGCAATGTGATGGATTTCACGGTTGATCTATAAATATCATGTATCTATTAAAAGTGAATTATATATAAAACATTAACAACCCATTCTCATTAGCTCTCTACACACTACTCTTCCCTTCCACATGAAATTAAGGCTGTTAATTTGCCTGTTATCAATCACGCATTTTCAAGATAGCAATTCCTAATGTTCCTAAATGGTTGAAAAGGAGCTCTACAAAAAAAAAATAACAGAACCAATGCCTCACATAAAGTTTACTCATACATCATATCTGATGCTAACTGATATGCTGCAGTCGACAATGGAAGTAATCAGACGGCAATTGACAACATTTTCAACAAAAAAGCCACTAGTTATTAAATAACATTAATTTTGAAAAAACAGATACCTTTTTCAGCATCAACCATGAAAAATTACGAACAAATCATGCAATGAGTTTCTAACACAAGTCCACAACCTTTGAAATAATCCAGCCTTTGAATCAATAAACAAAAAACCTAACATCATCAGTCATCACTCACCATCAGAACTTCCCAAAGGCGGTACACCTAGGCCACCAGCACCAAGCCGAAGGATGATTGTAATAGCAGGATTTATTACAGCATGTTGGCTTCTTCGAATCTACAATGAGAAATACATAAGTTAAATGAACTTTTACTGTTTGCCAAGAAAAAAGGGACAATGATGTAAATTAGAACAGGAAATCTTACTTCATCTATGTCTTCAAAGGGAATAATCACCTGTAAATTGGACATGTATACAGCGTGAGGAATATATGTTGGCCACAAATATTAGTACTATGTTCAAAAAATTCATCATAAAGAGGGCAATGCAAGCCACCAGTAAAGTCACACAGCACCATGCGTCTCTAAAATATAAAACTTTAAGCCACTAAGTAAATCAACAGTAAGGGTCCCTCAAAAATAACATACTATAACATAGGAAAAATTCTAATAGAATTTTAAATTAGTTGGTTTTCTCATAAAAATTATCTCTCAAATAACACCCTTTACGAAAAAAAAAAAAAAAAACAAAGAAAAAAAAGAAAAAGGTATAACTGTTCCTGATCTAACGCCATTGTCAAGGTGCTGTAAGTTGAGATGGAAGAATTGTCATTCTTATCTAAAAAATAAAGGAAGAATTCCCACGCTGACACTAGAATAGAAATAAGAGTGATTAATATTTTGGTGAATAACAAAGATGCGGTAACAAGTTGGTGATTAAAAAACACTGCCAAAAAAGGGCATGGCCAGCACACGCACTCAACTTTTTGTTCATCACTATAATTTTATTTTTCCACTATCATTTGAGGGAATAACAATAGATAAAATAAGGGGCATGTAAAAGAGTAGAAGTTATTAAATGGTAAAAATTAAATGAACTAATACACTTCCTTGTGTTTAGCTTCTATGGGACTTTATAATATTTAGGTTACTATTAGACTAAATAAAGCAAAGTCAGTCCAATGAATACCATTTTAATAGTACACATACAGGACCCAACATGCCACTGTTATTGTTATTTAAATGAGAAATGATATTTTTACTCTAATTTAAAAGCAATCTTTGCATATAAATTATTTTAAAGATACAACAAACACAGTTCAAAATTATTTGCCTTGGATTAAAAATACAAATCCACATATATACTTATAAATATCTCTATTAAAGCCCATGTGAAGTATCCCCCACCCCACTTGCATATACTTATTAATTAAAAATACAAATCCACCTATTGTTTAACAATTTGGTATTTAGGTCGACAAGTACTAGGACATATTTTATTCTTAAATTGGTATATACATGCAGAGGCAAGGAAACCTTTCTATACATACAATAACAAAATAAAAAGGGAATCAACTGTGATTACAAATAATTACTACAGGTAAAAAGTAATGTGTGGGGAAAGAAATAACCTTCATCTGCTTAGAAAACACGTTTGAGTGAAAGCAAATGTGCCAAGCGGATATATACATACGACCATGATACAAAAAAGATCTCTCCAGTGCACAGGAATAGCTGTGCTCAACAACCTGCAATATATAATCATCAAATCATATGAAACATGGAATGACCAGATCAGAAAAGAGGAAAAGACATGAATGCATTAAAAACTTTTGAGTATAAAACCCACATAGTAAAAGCTGTAGATTCCAGTCACTAAGCTTGGGATTTTTTACAGTGGCAGAAAACCATAAACAGAATAAATCAACATTACCAATGGCCACAAAATAACAATCACCAAGACCAAAGTAAATGCAACGCTTTTCTAGAACACTAGTCCATTGACAACAACAATATGTTACCATTTCAAGAAGTTACTTTTGTTTCTGGACAACCTATACAAGAAACATACTCCCTTTACTTCTAATATGAGAAGCGAAATTGTAAGTTTGATAGTAATTCACCTCATCAGCGGGTAGATCAAATATCATTTGCAATGGCCCAGGCTGTTGGTAGACCACCATCGGCTCTTGCTTATCTTTTGGCCCTTGTTTATCTGGAGAAACCCTCCTGCGACCATTTCCTCCACCATAGCCATCTAAAACCCTAAGAAAAATTATTTCAGTCAGGTAAAAATGAATGTTCTCTTTTATGCTTCCAAGTAAATTTCCAGACAACCTCAACTATACTACATCAAGAGATCAACAAATTTCATAATATTCACCGTAGAATCCAGGCTCACATTCAACAACAACAATAATTTTATAAAAACACAAGATCACTTAACCATACTCCCTTTGTCCCACATTAATATAGGCCATATATGACTAGAAATGGTATAACAAATTTCCTTCAAAACCAAAAATTATCCTCGATAGTTTCTACAGTTGTTTAAAAACAACAATTTATTAAGATACCATGCATCAAAAATCCTAAAAAGAAGTATAGAGTAATATGTAAAATTTCCAAATTTAACTAGCTAGATATGATCAGTGGCCTATTATATTGAAACGCCCCAAAATAAATATGTAGTATTAAAGTAGGACTCTGTAGAAGAGTAGGAAATACAAGTGTGTTTAGACCAATCCAGACATGAACAGGCTGATTGCTAGCATCAATAGAAGATTTGATGTGCCCGACAGCTAAACTTACACAAATTTAAGCTTCTAAGCTTAAATAAAAAAAAAAATATTCTAGCAATTGATACATACTCCCAATTCTGAAATAAACTTGCCATTAATGGAGATTCAGAATACTCAGGTGACTTAATAACTATTCATTGTAATCCAAACTTGCTGATTATAAAGTAGCTTCTAGAAAATCTTAAAAGATATTAGTACAAGAGCATGCACATCTCAAAGCATGTACTCCAAGTCCAGCTGACGAGGCAACAATCTATGGAGGAACCTGGTACATCCCAACTTTTCTCCCTTACATTGTTGCCACATCACCAAGAAACATAGCTTGCAGGTGCACATAATAAATTGCCCAGAAATATACAAACCACTAAGGAAAGTGGTTTGTTCTAAGACGTCCAACATGGGCCATGTGGAAAATTATTTCAGTAGGCAATGATAAACTATAAAGATTGGAGAACTTGGATCACCAAACCAAAATAATACCTGGAAGTGTTTGTAGGAATAGCCTTGATATCAAGACAAACCTGACAATGGTAACCCATCAGAACCAAGCTAAAACAGTGGGTTTAACCATAAATTTGACAGAATATAGAAGTTTCAGTGTGAAATACCATTCCTGAGGAGCTATCCAGTGGATGCCATACTGCCCCAGAATTATCACCCACAGACTCCACAGATACTGAAACTGAACCGAGAACTGCACTTTTCCAGATTATATCCCAGTCATAGATTGTCACTTTAATCTGCAAATAAGTTGAATATGAAATACGGTGATTAGGAAGGGAAGGAAAAGAAGGAAATGAAAGCAAGGACATTTGTTCACGAAAAGAATAGAATACGAAGGAAAGGCAAAAACAGCGTAAAGAACATATCTTTAAATGTAATATACTATATACACATTCCATTGTCTAATACAGTAATCCTCGTATCTTTAAGTGCGGTTCAAGAATATCTGTTGCCTAATTGCTTTTTGGCCGAAGGCTATGAGTAGCCTAGGAGGTGACTGAGGCTCAATAAAGTTGCAACTAAGTAATTTATATTTCTCATTTAATAAATTTGATGGTTGATCTGCTTAATAGTCTTCTTGCCACGGTTAAAGCTGTTGGCATTTCTGTGGATCTGAAGGTGGGGGTGGGGTTTCAACTTACACTAGCAATTTCCAGAGGACACAATCCTCTTCCATTCTGATGATCTGTCAGGGTTTTAAAATGTTCTGACAGCTTGTCAGATATTTGACGTGGTTTGAAACCTTAGATTAATCTAGGGAAATCCCAAATTAAATCTTCTTCCCTAGCCCCCTTTACATCACTTGCTATGAATGACCCATAACCTACACTCTCACGGTCCCACCTACCTGGTATTCAGCTAAGTCTGAAACTTGGAACAACTTTTTGAAGCCCTATGATGCAATGAATTTCTAGGAGCCTTGATAGATGGGGAAAAAAAAAAAAAAAAACACATCGAGTCATATATTTCTAGTTTCCCCATTAATAACCCATCTATGTTTAAGTTCTCAGTTAGTAATAAGGTGGGGGATGATAAAAGAGACCTGTCTATGGGGTGGTATTAGGATTGTAGGACTTAACAAGTGGGTGTCTGAATCTCCAGAATTTCAAGTCCAGAAACATTTTATTGGCATCGAGTCATTAGTGGCAGGTATGATGGTAAGAACATCAGAGAACCAGACAATATGCGCAAGTGGGTCCCATACCTAGCCCTCAATGATTTCTTGGTTTGTATGGGTAAAGAAGATGCCTTTCCCCTTTGCTTTTCTCGTCTTAATAGTACCTTCTAATTGCACAAAGGTTAAAAATCATATTTCTTGGGATGTGAAGTCTAATGATTTCTTGGAACTTTGTTTTCAGCAAAAGACTCCAGTTTAAAAGTGTAACTTTTCCAAGTCTCTATATAGATTTGTTGGAAGCCTTTCTAGTGTAATCTAAGTCTGACATACAAACCCAGCCACAATAATAAAACCACCTTTCCAATTATCAAACTATGACATTGTTGTATCTTGAACTCTTGATGAGTAGCAAATAGATCAGAATTTATTTATTAAGAAGAAGAAAGATATAACAAACAAACAAAAAAAAAAAATCTCCAAGCATATGTATGTGTGTGTCCTCGAGCATGCATGCGTGTGTGTATAATTGTGTATACATGTATATATTTATACAACTATTAGTTCATGCATGAATTCATATAATTTTATGTTGCATCAAAGAAGCTACCTGGATGGGCAACTCATCAACAACGAAGTTAAACTCCTCTCCCCACATGGGATTTCTTGATCCAGGAATCATCGAACTGCAGTGAGAAGCGGGCAAGCCTTAAATCAGCAACATAAAAACAAAACAGAGATATATATCAAGGATTTTCTTGTTCCATGATAGAGAAGTCCAAGATATTGCAACGAAGTCATCTCTAGCAATAGCATCCACAAACAAGTTATATAAAAGCTGAGCAGCATATAAACAACATAATTAATACTGTGTATGAAGGATGATAACAGAACGTCCAAGTGCTCACTCCCTGCCATTTTGCATACGTTGCTAATAATTTTGAGCTTACGAAAATGCAGAGTCACAAAATATAAACTATGTTACTACAATCAACAAGGCAGAAATAAAAACACATACATGATGATGTAGTGAGAAGTATATATAAGATTTAATTCTTTAATTAAACATAAATTTTAGGGGGTTTAAATGATTTTAAGTCTCTTTTTATGCCAGAGTATGCAACATAGTGAATACATCCTACCTCAACCAGACTAGCATTTGATCAGCAACTAAAAGAGTGATGGTGATTGTCATTACGACATAGTAGGACAGATACAACAAATCTAAACAAAAACCCAGTATATAAATAAGGAAACTCATAAACAATCTAATCCTCTAAATGGAAATGGAAGCAATAGTAACACACACAAAAGGGGATACAACTGTAGAAAGTTGGAAAATAGATCGCAGACCCCCTATGTCTAGTTGACACTGTCTAAGACACTGGCTCAAGTGTAAAAAATAATTGGGATGAAGTAGCATTCTAGACAAGATTATGATGTTATGATGGTGACTACATATATATAATATCTCCTTTACAATTTTATAGGAGACAACAAAACAGAACAGTTTTCATAATTTTTAAAGTTAAAAAAATCTAAACAACATAGCTAGACAACTCTGGTCATATCAATAAGACGGTAAATCTAGCACCTGGCCTATGAGGAACAAAAATTACTATGAACAGATGAATATACTGAATTGACTATAATGACAAACACACAGCAGAAGTGAATTGCCAAAGCAATAACCAGTAGCCAGTGACCAGTGACTTGTCCTTCACAAGAGCTTCCTTGCTATGACTATTTTTATTTTTCTATTTAGGTTGGGGAAGGAGGGGGGATTTCATATTGATACAGCCTTGCCCTCATGGATGCAGAAAGGCAATTCTGTTAAGCCAACAATTGCAGGATTTCAAAATTGGATTCAAATAATAACTAATATGATCAAAATTGAAAATAGAAGCAACAAACATCAATAGAAAAGTCTAAAAACAAAAAAACAACTTAACCTTCTTTTATTTATTCCAGAAAGCTACATTAATAGTCCTATATTGAATTAGTCATGATAAAACATCAAGGTATTAAAGTCAAACATTTTTATTACCTGAATCTTTTCTCTGTACCACAAGTAACAATAGCATAAGGATCTGATGTGCCATTCAGATTGGCGGTGATAAGATTCTTTGCAGCCAAAAGCCCAACCTGTAGGGTAATAGATTCTGTATAAGTGGTGCTCAAACAGAAAATCAATTTTAAATCCACTCCTCAACATAATTCCTTCCATAATGTTTGATACCTTTTTTACCAACATAATGAAAGTAAGCATATCACTGAGCACCCCAACAGTTAATAACTCTTATTCAATATACATCCTACATCTACATCTTTAAAACACGCCAACATCCCAAAAAGGTTTAAACATTTTATCAACTAACGTATTATATGTATTTTGTATCTATATCTTAGATAACATGTCAAAATTTACACTTCTAAAATCAGAATAAATGTTTTGTCGGTGCTTTGCTGGCGTTACGTTAATTCTTTAGAACATATCAAAAAAGAAAATTTGATACCGAACCTTGACCATACCTTGATCAAGTACCCTGAGTGAGTTTGAGGGTCACATTTCAGCTTGTCAATCTACAAAATAATTGCAGAACTGCATGTCAAGAAAGGTAGAATTACTCCAAGATATCAAACAATCAAATGTAGCATGCCCCCTAGATTAACAAAAGTATATTAGCCTATTAGGCCTCTCTAGCTGGCTGATGTTGGCAATCAATTGAACATTACAAACTCAGAAAAGGACAAAAACAATGATACGATCAAAATTGGGGTTAAGGTACCAAGTGGAAAGCATGGAATACCCGAAAATTGAAGAAGCAAAGAGAGAAGGGAGCAAGAAAAACATCACTTATCACAGTTTAAGTGGGGTTCTACAATTCACAAATTATGGTATCACTAAACAAAAATTATTCATGGTTCGCTCAATCACAAAGACTTATAAAGTTATAAGTCACTACATTCAAATATGATATCTTCCATGATCTCAGCATATCACTTAGCATCGCGCTTCACTGTTCTTTTAATTTTGTCATTCTTATATGGACAAAAAAAACTCCAATTCATTCTCGGTCATGTTAATGACAAAAAAATCACCCTTACTAAACAAGTTCTATAAGTGAAGACCATTGGAAAACCATTCTATTAATGTCGCAGGAAATCAACGAACTTACTCAAACTCAAATCGCGCCATTGTAATTCAAATAAAATAAATTAGAACACTGCCACCTCTCTAATAAAACATCATATACAATACATAATCTTACATTAGTCATTTCCTTTTCTTTACATCCTACAACAAGTAAGAGCGCACTTACTCCGAAAGCGAAAACGACATAAAGCCCAAAAAGGAAAAGCAACCTCCTACCAAAAAAAGCTTAAAGTAACAAAGCAAATTAATCAACTCAACCAAATTAAGAAAAGAATCAAAACAAACTACACATTCAATTTTACACCCAACTCTCCATTTCCACTATCCAACTAATCAACAAAAAAAACAATCCAATAAAGCAATAACTTCAAAGAATACCAAAATTTACCAAAAAATAGTGCCAAAAATTCAAAAAAATTAAAAAAAGAAAAATTGGAAGAAATCTTACTTTATCTCTCTCCTCAAGAGTATCAACAGAACCAATAGTCTGACCAATATCATGGCTACTGCGATCAACAAGACTGACGTACCAGTAAGCAGCAATCACAAAGATGGCGGCGGCAAAGGTAACTTCAATCTCCCACAACGACGGGAAAAGTGAATCCAACGCCATTTGAACCATCAATCTCGCCGGCAAATCCATCGGAAAATGAAAAAAACACGCCGGAAAATCGGAGAAAAATCGTTAGAATAACGATTTGAAGTGATCAATTTCTAGGGTTTTGCGAAAATGATGAAATTGATGAAAAAATTCCATGAAAAAGAGGGAAGAATTAGAGGAGAGAGAAAATGGGTCAATTAAGGGTGGTTGGACTTTGGAGGGAGAAATTGGAATTTTAGGAATTTTATGGTTTTTTTGTCGGAAATTAATGACGTGGATTTTTGGTGGTTTTTATTTTTGTTTTTAATGCCGCGTAACCGTTTTTTTGACGATTTTGCCCTTGAGGTTTTTATAGTGGTGCTGATAGAAGGGGAGTTTAAAGGGGTAGTTTGGTAATTTTAGGGGGAGATGTGATGAAATTGTAAAACGAACCGTTTGAAAGACGTGGGGTGGTGTGTGTTAAGGGGGAGTGAGAAATCTGAGAATATGGATTAGCATAAACATAACGTTTTTCAAGTTCCAAGAAGGCAAGGAATCAAATCTAAATTTTTTTTTTTTTTTATAATGGAAATTTAATTTAATTTAAAACTTTTTGTAACGTGGTTCATGATTTTTATTTATTATAGGTTTTTAATTCAATTGAATTTATTTTATAATAAATGTGGGAAAAGATTGTCAAACAGATGCAAGTATGAATGAATTGTAACTTTGTCTGTAGATGACAATTAGTTTAGTTGGTTACAGTATTAAGGGATGGTACTCAAGATTTGTGATCAAATACCGTTCACATTAATTAATTACACATAAAAAAACCAAATATTACTCGTAATAATTTGACTTGACGCAATGAATTTCAACCGAGTTTAATAAGTTCAGATAAATTAAGATGTAATAAATTCACACATAAGCTATAATTTGATCAAATATTATTCGCAACACTTATAATGTATTAGATTAATCATGTTAGCCTTTATAGCACTTAAAATGATACACTTACATTTTATTTATCTATCTTCACATCTAATAGCTTGTTATCCGTTAACAAATTCTATCACAAGAGTGAGGGATAGCTCATGTGGTTAGAGTTTCCTCCCGATACCAGAGATCATGAGAGGTTATATATATATATATATATATATATATATATATATATATATATATATATATATATATATATATATATATATATATAAAAACACCCTTCTACCACGCCTAATGCCTAAGAATCATCTCTACAACTATATTTTGCCGAAAATGACCTTCAAAAACAAGGGTAGTATTCCAACCCCAATTGAACAATCAAACGTGAACTAAGAACAACTTCAACGGTAAGCTACTTAGCAAATTAACTTGGTATACCACATAAATTATTTAACTAATCTCATTTGTAACTGGTTTGTGCCCCAATGGTTAGCTACTAGTTTGTAATTTAAATGAACCATAATGCCTTCATTAGATTTGTATATTGAATTTTATTAATATATCAACCGCTCTTTTTGGCAATTTTTTTGTGCAAAACTAATTTGCTTGACCAAACTAATTTTATTTTTTATCCCTAATAGTCAAATTAATAACTAGTAAATTTTCTAAATTGCAAGCAAGTCTTTACCTACAGGACTGCATCCATAAGAGATGCAAAGTGTTATTGTTATGGTCAATTTTTAGGCACGACCTGTCGCACGATGACAAAAGACGACAGACGACCACGTAACTAACTCAGCGAGAGATAAGGGGTTGACCAAGGCCCACGATAACACTGCAGCTATTTCCCAGCAACACATTCATCGAAAATAATTAAAATCCTATCCAGAAAGACTCTCCACGAAGGGATGGGTCCAAGACTAAGTCTAGCAACAGTTGTCCTACATTCTAGGGAAGTTGTTAGCAGCCTCTAACGGCATTATTAGCTAGGGTTAGGCATCTTAGCTGATATTATAAATAGCATAGTCATCGTAGTCAGTGGGTACATTTTCTTACGCACTCTACTCTCATCTTAAAGCTCTCATACTCAATTGTATCCAAAATTACTCATAGTGGAACGATGGTCTTGCATCCACCCGCAGTTTTTCCCACATTCGGGTTTTCTGCATCATCAAAATACCTTGTCCCTTTATCGTTTTTATCTTAAGTTTATTCGTTTTCTATAGCCAATCCTTTAGCCGTCGAACGTCCCAGCCATAGGTCGCCCCTAGGCGAAATTTGGCATAAACAATTTGGCGCCCATCGTGGGGTCGGCGACTAGATTTCCATTCAAAAGTTCTAAAAAACCTCCCCTTTTAACAGGCCATCCAGCATCCATGGGTTCTTCAAGAGGAAACATGACCATTGATCAGCTCATGGAAGAAATCCGCAAGACTCAAAAGGAGCTCGCGCAGCAGAAAGCGGAGAACGCACGACTCGCCGAAGAAAGCCAGAAGACCGACGACACCCTTAGGAAAGAATTGGACTGCGTCCGCAGCAATACGTCGAGTCGGCGCCGCAACACCAACAACATCCCTACTATGATGAACTTGGACTCTGCAGATGAATCAGGTGGTGATGACGAGGAAGATGAAGCCGAGCGCACTAATTAACAGGATGACGACGAAGCAGATCAGACGGCTTAGAGGCTGAACAAGATCGAGGCTCACAACGCCAAGTTGCTCCGCCTGCTGAAGAGATTGCCCGGTGCGCCAGTCCCGACCGTGACAGAAGAACCTAATGGTTTCGCTGCGTCTCCCTTCGTGGATGAGGTAGCAATGGCCGACATCCCTAGAAGGCTAAATATTCCTCCTCCAGCGATGCTCTATGATGGAAGCACCTGCCCGTTGGAGCATGTCAATCACTACAAGCAAAGGATGTGGCAGTATTTCATCCCCCGCAACCTGCTCGAGCCAGTCCTCTGCAAATCTTTTAGAGCTACCCTTACAGGGCCTGCCCTTGAATGGATGTGTGATATCAAACTGTTAGGTTTTCAGTAATTCAAGTCAATAAGAATTACTTAATATTGTGGGAACAAAACCTAAACAGTGTATAATTAATATCAAATTATACAACAATCCAAATACTAACCAAAGTATTACAATCCAAGCACCAAATATACAATGTAATTCTGAAATTACAGAAGAAAACACTAATGTGAAAGATATTGCACTTGCCTCAACTCCAAGCTTTAGAAAATGAACATGAACATGAGAAATACAATGACCACTTGAGTCTCGATCCTTGATACACTATCTTAGGCGTGTGAACACTTTCCTAAAGAGTTTAATTTCCCCCACAATGGTGCTTGGGTTCAATCCGGAAATACTCTTTGAGATACAAAAGACAACCAATTGTTCTTTGCACTAAGAAACGAATTGAAGATGACTAATTCACAAATTTGGATTAATTGGAAGAGATTTCTCACAAAAATTTGCAAGAAGTTTGAGAGAAAATTGTGGAGAATTCCTTTGGAGAGATACAGATTAATTTCTTCTGTGTCAAAGCTTTTACGAAATCAAGCCTTTAATAAAGACTTAACCGTCAGGAAAACCGTAAAACAGGGTGGCGCGAGCGCTCCACCAAGAGGCGTGGGCACGCCACAAAGTGGAGCGGGCGCTCCTCATCAGATATGCGAAATTTCCACAGGAAGGCAGAAGGGGGCGCGGTTTAGGCGCGCCACTAGGACACGCGGGCGCGCCACCAGACGCGCGAGCGCGCCAACCTTACCCTTCCAAAGATCCAAATTCCAGAGAGGTACGCGGTTTAGGATGAGAGTAGAGGTACGCGGGCGCTCCTTCATGGTCGCGATCGGGCAACCATCAACACTCTAAATATTTAACACAAACGTGGTTCCATTACGAATTTTCAAACTTCGTGTAACAGGTTCTATAGCAAGTTTAACAACAGTTGCAAAGTTGAAAAGCAGACGAGCGACCTATAATGCGTCGTCCAAACCAGCGGCGATTCCATCAAGTCGTACTTCAGCAGATTCAACAAGGAAATGATCGGCATCAAGGGATATGACGTCCGAACGGCCATAGAAGCCTTCAAGAGAGGACTGTCGCTAGACTCGGAACTTATACAAAGAGCTGACCAAGTATCCTTGCACAACCTTCGAAGAAGCCAGGACTCGCGCCCTAGCTCAGATGCGACTAGAGGATGACATCGCGATCAAGAAAGGCGTCAAGCCTTCCCCCGTTCCTAGCAATGAAAAAGTCGACAGACGATCCAATAGAAAGAAAACTGGCGTCGTAGACCTTATGACAGGCCAAATCAGGTAAACAACGTCAATAACGTTAATAAAGCTAACGATGCACAAAGCTCTGTTGACAGGTCCAAGAAGCGAGATGCCGACGCATACCCCAACATTATCGAATATGGATTCCACGTCGACATCGGGGCCGTGGTGAATGCCTTGCATTCCTTAGGTGTTGTCGCCCGTTGGCCCAGGAAGAGCGACAAGTCAGATGAAAGCAAAGACAAATCCAAGTGGTGCGACTACCATAGCGATCATGGCCATCGTACCGAAGATTGCAATGCCTTGAGAAGAGAAATAGCTTTCCTCTTGAAAAAAGGTCATCTAAAGGAGTTGATGGGAAAAGGCAAGTCAAATGACAAAGAGACGTCGCCCCAGCAGTGCCAACAGCCTCCTAAAGCCCCGACAATGTAATACTCCGTATTTTTATAATATTTTATTTTATTTTATTTATTTTTATAAATTCAAATGATTCATTTCATTTTAAAAGAAATTAATTATTTAAATATTATGTAAGCGTGCATAAAATAATATGGGTCATTAATTGAGGCAATAAAAGTGTTTTGAATTGGGTCATCTTTATTTTAATAGTTGGAGCAACTTGTTGGGGAATTGAGGACACTTAAAAGACCAACAAGTTGGCCCCAAAGGAAGAAGTCAATGGGGGGTATGATTTAGTAATTACAGTTTTGTAATTATGAGTTTTTGTTTTAAAAGGGGAGTATAATACTTCAAGACCTCAAGATTTTTCACTCTAAAATCATAATTGTCAGATTTCACAAAAAATTCCAAAGGTTTTCTCTTTATTTTCTCTCTCCTCTTTCTCCTTATTTTTCCTCTCTTTTTTTCCTCTTATTTTCCCTCTCCTTCCCCACGCCTCTGTCTCCCTCTTCTTTTCCCCTCACGCTGGCAGCCACCGGCGGCAGCAACAACAGCCGGCAGCACCGCCGGCCACCCTCTCCTTCTCTCTCCTTTTGTTTTTGGTGTTTTGGTATTATTATTATTAA